ATAGCTGCAGCCTTTTGAATCATTCACGGTTTCTGTGGAGGAATGTTCAAGCTTAATGCAAAATTTAATGCAGATTCATTGCTCTACTTGTGCAGTTATTTTGAATGTGAGGACATGCTCACTCAGTGGCATCTACCACCCCCACTGACTAGTACAGCATTGTTGTTATTGCTCACACATGTGCACATTCCAGTTCACTCCCCTTGGCTGTCAGGTAACATCAATGTTGTGCAAACCATTGTTATTATATTAACAATGGCTTGCCTATTTCTGGACAGACCTTTATTTTTCTAATATTGTTTGTTTTAAATACTACCTCTTCACCAAAACAAAAAACAAGCTTGAAATAATAATAGGTAGTCTTGAAATAATAATAAGACCAAAGTCTCCTCAGAGACTCTCTTATTCTTGCTGATTCTCCATTTGAGACATGGTCACACCCTGGCAGCCAGATCTCACTGGTTGCAGCAGGGAAGTGAGGCAGGTGGAGAATGAGGACCAGACGGATGAGACAGCTGGAACAAGGGTGTGGCTGGAGGGGGAGATGCCTGGCACCTGAGAAAACAGTGGTGGCCCAGCTCTGGTAATCTGAATTTCCCCATACATGTCTCCAGTGTCCAAGGAACTGGAACTTCTACTGAGGAAAATCACTAGAATCCAAATAGTTTCCAATGCAGCCTGAGCAAAGACCAGTCTCCACACACAAACCAATCTGATTCTTTTGACAGGCTTGATCAGAAATCAGTATTTTGAGGTGTGCAGAAGTCCATGCCTTGAAGCAAAGCCCCCCCCCCCTAGAAATCCCACTACTGTGGAATATCTGTGCTGACCTCAGCTAACTACTTGGGATGTAACTGATTAACTCATTTAAGAGGACCAACCAATTCAAAGGCCTTCTTGAAGCCTTAGCAATGCATAGACTAATTAAATGAATGCTATTTTAACTTCTTATTCTTGGAAAGGAAGGAGCTCTGCCAGCCTGCTCTTAGTTACTCCCAGCACTTGAAAGAAAGTAAATGCCTTTCCTTTTTAAAAAAGTCTATAAATCCTTCAATTTTGTTTATTTTAAATGTCTTTGTCCACATTTGTCCAAATAAGTGAGGCTTTACCATTTTTGGTTTTTTCTCTGTAGAGAGAGTTTTAGGTCTTTGTCGGAGGGATCATTCCTGTTTGTTTGACTCCAGCCTCTTCCATCTTTTTGGCTGAACCTGAGTCCAGGAAACCCAGCAATACTCATAAGGTTTCATGGTCTCTCCTATGGAAGTGAGAAATCAAATACCTACTTCAGAACTCTCCCTATAAATGCCTGTTCTTCATTTCTACTTTCCTCCCCCCCATCCTTCTCCTCTTTCTGGTCTTTAGGTAAAATTATTTATATTTGATAAAGGTTTCCCCCACCCTGGTCCTTGATGGGTCTTTTTTTCTTATGTGTCTTCAAGGACACAATAGAAGGCAGTACAGCTACCTTGGAGACTCCAGTTTTGTCACTTCTCCTCCATGGACAGCTTATAGAGCTCTTGTAAAGTTTTAGTGAATGTGTGGTTCGCTCACTCCTCACACTTTAAGTAGAAGACACCACAATAATACACAAACTTATATTCAAAGATGCTGTGAGGCAAATCCAATAAATACCACAAATGTTCTATTAAAGGAGTGGGCCTTAACCAGAGGTGATCTGGACTCAACACCTACACCTTTAACAATGTTGAGAGACATTTCTGGTTGTGCCAGCCTGGGGAGAGGGGTGGTACTGGCATCTCGTGTGTAGAGGTGAGAAAACTCTACTACACATCCTCTAATACATAAGACAGCCCCAACGACAAACTTTAAATAGTGCAAAGGTTGAAAATCCTGCTAGAGGATTTTCTAGCAGATTTCTAAAAATCCCTGCTAGAGGAATCTTTCTCTTTTTTCCTTTTTCCTCAAGGCTTGGGAAAAAAAGAAAGAAATGCTCAATTTTGATGAGTACATGTGTCTTGGTGTCCAACATCCCATATAGATCCAGGAATTGGAGAGCACAAGAGTGCCACTGAGCAGGGCAAAGTGCAAGGTCAAGGCAGGCCTTCTCAGCACCGACAGCTGTCTCAGCTCTAAGAAGAGACAACTTTGACCGAAGCAGAGGACCAAAAAGTTACAAGGATGTTTAGTTTGTGATAAAAATCATTTTGCAGATTAAAGGGCTTCCTCCTGCCCATAAAATGGTATGTTCTTTAAAAAACTTAAAAATTGGAGGCATTTAACTGTGTTGTGAGCAGAAGGCAGGACTACTGCTCATAGCCATGGTCAATTAATTAGGTGCATTCTTGTAAGCAAGCTGGGTAGCTATAATCAAGCTATATAGGTGGTGATGCTCTTCATATTTTTAGTGTGTGTGCTATTCAACTGCCCCATGTTCTAAATGCTGCAGCTGTCAACACGAAGGGATTCAGGGGGTTTCCTAGAGCCAGTTTCTCTCTCCATCTCTTGGCTCCATTTTCCCACACTCTTTCTGTGGTAGCAAAAGATGGATGCTCAACCAGCAGATCTTCCCTCCTTTTACATGCGAGCCCCCTTAGGATGTGTGAGACTCTTTCCCAAGATTCTCAGCAAAGTCACGGTATCTTTCATTGGTGTTAATTGGCTCAGGTGCTCATCCCTGAACCAGTGCTGTGGCCAGGGGAATGCTAAGAGCTGATTGGCTGAGGCCTAGGTAACAGCACACCCCTAAGCCCCTTGTGATCCATGTGTGCTGAAAGTGGACAGATGTGTTGCCTGAAAGGAAAATTGGGGTAAGATTATCAAAATAAGAGGAATGGATGTCCAGGAGAATAAATACACACCCACACTACTTGCTATTAAGATGCTTTGGATTCTGCAGTTGAGGATGAAGTTTCTTGCCCTGGCTTTGCTGTTAACTGGTTGCATAATTTGAGATAACTCTACAATTCTCTTCCTGCCTCCTTTTTATAATCTGAATCGTGGAAGGAGTAATACAATTTGGGTGGTTATGAAAATCAAACATGTATGTTGGGATATTGGAAGCATTGTGCACACAAGTAGTTATTTAGATGCCAATGAATCCAGTTCAGCTTCTAGATTCTAGAAGAAGCTAGGCCAGCTACAACCAACCCAGCTAGTTCATGGCAGGTCACTTCGGAAGCCAGTGTCTAAATTTATCCCAATCGTCATCGTTGCAGTTCAGTGTGGGAAATCTTCTGAGGTCAATCATTGAGGTAATTGCCTTGCTGTGGATCTTGAAAAAGTCTGTCTGTTAAATGACATAATTGGTTTTAATTATATAATTACGGCACTTAAAGTGTGGGGGTGAAAGGTTACTATTATATTTAGAAGTGGGATCCCCAGTGAAGCCAGGGTGTGTAAGCCAGTCTTTCTTCGAGTTTCTCTTTTTATTTTTTCAGAGGAAGTCAGACTAGGCTGGCCTTGGCCCTGGCCATTTTGGGATGATTATCCTGTATGAGTTAGTGCTGGGACTGCTCACAGCATCACAGGAACCTTTGTGAAGAGATGGGAAAGGGCTTCCGTAAAGACCTCATTGCGATCTGAAGTTAACGAGCAGTGGGAACTCAACTGTCAGCAATTGAATCTGATTGGGCAGGGTAATTATATGATTGCCTCTGGCATTTGCACATGCACGGGGATATTTTTATTGGAAAAAGCCTAATTGCTTACTTTCTTAGTAGAGGGAAAAGCTAAACAAATTTGTGTTGTCATAGGTTAAAAAGACATCCTTTCTTTGTCTCTAAAATAGCTGCCTGCTCTGCTTTTTATAAGTGAGGGTTTTCTTCTCCCCATTTTCAGTCAAGGATGTCACTTGCAGACTTGAATTATATGATAATATGAAAATGTAAAGGCAAGCTACTTGGGACTGTGTGTTTTGGTAAAATGACCACATGCCTATTGCCATATCTTAAACCATCCGCTTCAGTGGCCTCTTTTGTAATGCAAGGGCAGCTGAAACCCTGGGCAACACTCAAGCTACTGGGGCTTTCACAGGTATTTTGTTTTGTTTTCTTGTATGGAGGCCCCTGACAAGATTGGCTTCATAAGCTATCTGGTTTTTCTTCATTGCATCAGGCAAGCGGGAGGTACCGTGTGTGGTAGACTTTTAGAAATCAAAAACACCAAGGGGAAGAGCAGCAAAGCATCCCTCTGCTATTTCCCAGGGATTTGGAGAAAAGGGAAGGGCGAACTGAGTACTAAAGTGGAGAAGCCCAATAACACTCCAGGGTCTTTTTTTGACTGTCCTGAGTGAGTGTTTCTTGTCACTCAACTGTGATGCTGGTGTGCAGAAATCAGATTGCTGTTTGGTCCACTGTATGGCATTCAACTCTGTATTATTGCTCATTTTTCTATATTTTTACAGAACAAACTATTTTCTAAGTTCTTCCCTTTCCTGGGATTCCACCCCAAGAGATTGAAACACAATTGGATTGTGGGAACTAGAGAAGCACCTTGTAACGACAGCTGTAGACTCCAAATCTGGTGCTCTGGTTGGGTAAAGGGTTTTTGGTTGGAGAATTGCTGAGAACAAAGGGCTTTTAGCCATTTGACCAGCCATGCTTTCTCATCTCAGAATCTTGCACCATCTCAGACTTGTACACACCCCAGTCTTGGCTAGCTGACTCTATAGGTCACCTGGGTTCATTGTTAAATGTCACTTCTTCCAGGAAGCCTTCCCTGACCACCAACCACCAGTATGGCTTGGCTGCCCTTGTTTTGCGCTCCATGGCATCCTCTAAGTTCCTGTACCTATTGTCCTTTAATTGCTTGTCTCATTGTTCAAAGTAGCCTGTAAGTTTCATGAGGGCCCAGCGTGGGTTTTTATTTGTCACTACTGTATCCACAGAGCAGGGCACAGTGCTTGATGAGTGTTTGGAATGACTGAATTAGGAACAGAATGGTTGCTGGGTGTCTTAGGAAATCATGGTGTGTGCTGCATGGGCTTCCCACCCTTGCTGTTAATACTGCTTTCTTGTTGCTTATAATTTTCATTGCCCCAGATGATCCAGCTCTGTTGGAGGCACGGAGGCACAGTCAAATCTCATGCTGTACATTGATCACCTGTCCAACCTTTGCCTAGAGTGGGAGCCCCCAGTTCCTTCAAGAGATCCAACTTTACCTGTCTGTAAAGAAGAAGAGGAGGAGGGAGACAGCGGGAGGATCCGGTGGCAGTGTAACACCAGAGCAGGTCCAATGTTTACTTTTACCCTTTTGGAGGTGGGTAACTGCAAATGCCATGGGGAGTGGGCTTTTGGAGTCTGCCTGTGACCTTGGATTTGGGGGCTCACATATACTTTATTTTGCTGGAGTGTAGGGATTGCTGCTTTTGTATTTAACTCATAGTCAGACTGTTCCATGATTCCCATCCACGTAGAACAAAAACCCAGGTTCATTATCCACATGAGGTAAATTGTCACATTGGCCATATATTGTTTGTGTCTTGCTTTGTGGAGAGAGTGTATGGTTCATTCACTGGTTCCTGTTTCATGACTTATATTTGTTACTTTCTTTTTAAGCTCTATGATTTTCAATGGCCTTTCTTGTTTTGATTCTCTGGCTTTTGATGTTTTAAATCCCCTCCTCCAGGGTCAACCTCTAAGACCATGAGATGCTGAGTAACTATTGAATAGATGAGATTTCATTTAGGACTGTCCCTCAGTGTTTAATCATAGCCATATACAATTCTGGAATATATCTTCCCTAAGCAGAATATGAACCTATACCATGTAGGCCTCAGGCAAGAGGGCTTCCTAATGACCCCCCAGTCCCCCGGCCATCCCTAAGTTTGGACTGCTCCTTGTTAGTTGGGCCGCAGTCAGTTTCTGGGTGGATGGATGTTTGCTTGTGGAAACCACAACCTCACATGTGGTGGGGCACAGTGAACTCTCAGCGTCCTCGGGTGCTCACGTGTAGCCGTCTCTCCCAGGTCTGTTGCATATTCTTCCTCTGCTGGTTCAGAGTCTCTGTTTACTTTATATTCATCAGTTGCATAATAAACACCTAAATTGGAGTCTTTGGAGTTTCCTTCAAGAAAGAGAGTTTGAACAACTGTTTAAAAATTTTTCTGTTATTTATTTATCTTTGTCAATTAAAGTTTTTGTCAAGATTGAAGTTTAATATTATTTGGCATTGGTTTCAGATGTGCAGCATAGTGGTTAGACAATTGCATTCTTTACAAAGTGTTCCCTCTGATATTTCTAGTACCTACTTGGTACCATACATAGTTATCACAACATTATTGAACAAGCTCTTCTTATTTATTTATCTTTAGAGGGGAAGGGAAAGAGAGGGGGAGAGAAATATCAATGTATGGTTGCCTCTCGTGCAATCCCTGCTGGGAACTGGCCTGCAACCCAGGCATGTGACCTAACTGGGAATTGAACCATGATCCTCTGGTTCGCAGGCCCTCACTCAATCCACTGAGCTACACCAGCCAGGGCAAACAAGCTCTTCTTAAAGGAGGTGTGTTTATCAACGCTGTGCACTGTGAACCAAACAGGATGGGCCATGGTGGGCTTTACTCCTGAATTCCCAGGCAAAGTTAAGTTTAATTTTTAGTTTGGGACAGCTCCGGGGGATGCGTCTCCACCTCATATCCTTTCTGGACCAAGGCAGGTAATTACTGCCCACACAAATCACATATTTTCACCAAAGAAACAAACAAAAAAATCTCTGAATGACATTTGATTTATAAGCAAACTTGGTGATGCAGTGTCTGAAGTGTCTCATCTTGTCTAATCATAACAATCTATTTTCTTGCAGGGTACTTCTGCATGCAGGGGTTAGTCCTCTTTGTTACAGAGTAAAGGGAATAATTTAAGAAAAGAAAAAGAAAAATTTGAATAAATGATTGTCATCTTAGGTCAAAATCAAACCGCTGATTGTTTCTTTTGTTTTGTTGGAAAAAACATTTTCATGTCCCTTCATTGACTGATTTATTCAGCAAACAGATTTAAACATTGGCTCTCTAAGTGCCTGCCTGCCCCCAAAACCTGCTTCTCAGCATCACCTGGGGCCTTGTTAGAAATGCAGATACTCAGGCCACACTCAGACCTACTGAATCAGCAACTCTGCAGGAAGGGTCCAGAAAGCTGAGTTTGGATGAGCTTCCCACTCATTCTGCTGCACACAGTAGTTTGAGAACTATTGGTTTAAAACTTGTGCTAGTGCATCAGGTGAGGGCAGTAACAGGAGTGCTCCTATAGGACCTCCTATCATCCAGGAGCTTGTGATCCAATCCTGGGCATACGACATAAATTCATCAGTTAGGCAGAGTGATCTTTATTAAATGTGAATTACTTCATACACTCACTTCCTAAGTCCCTCTGGGCACTTCCCTTTGTAGTGATATAAATAAATATGCTTGATTTAGGCTTATAAAACCTGGCACGCTCCATCCCCTGCCTACCTGCCCAGCCTCACCTGGCACTAGTCCCTTGATTCCCTCCCTCCGCTGGTGCTCTGCCACTCCACACTGTCTCATCTCCAAACACCCCCACTATCCATGCGGTCAGCAGGAATCCACGTCGAGGAAGGGGAGGGAAGAGAGAGAATTACAAAGGTTAAATAATAGCCTTGGTCACTGAAGTATTTTTCCATACAGTACAATATTTCTCAACCAGTGTCCCCATTAATATAATGTCACCATCAATATTAATACATTGATATATATATAGTGACCTTATTTAATGTAATAATGTTAATGGTCTCTCTTATAATATAGCCATCTGAAAGGACTTTTGCAATCATTAAGAAACTATTAAATATAGTTCAGTTTAATCTTAGCATCATGTAATTGTATTGATCTTTCTCTCTCTGAGAGTTGGTGGGGCAGACACAGTGCTCAGCAGCCACACACTGTAATAACTAAACGTGGCTGGAGACACCAGGTGCTGAGGGGGACTCACCTGTGTGGTAGCACAGATGGAGCCAACACATGATCCTTGCTGTCTCCACCTCCTTGAAGAAAAGATAATAACTATATTCATCAGGTTTTAACTACATAAAAACTTATCAATGAATGCTAATTTTGATCTTTGGACTACTAAGTGTGCCATGTGATTTGGGAACAAAGGAGCTGTTTAAGTTTTTATTAAACATAAAAAATGGCCTCTTGGGATTCTCTTTACAATAAGAAAGGGAAACACATATTTTAAATATGATTTGTTAAAAAATAAAGAGGCAAGGGGTTCTTAAAGACTTAGGACTAGTAGAGCCAAGGTTACACAAGTGCCTGATTCATCTGTGTATCGCCCTAAGGCAGTGGTTCTGGTTTGGGCTTTTGTCTGGATTTTTGTTCTGACAGCTCTTTCACGGTAGCAGGCAATATTTTTCATGTGGCTCATATGCAGCTTGGGGTATTATTTGCTGTGTAGGAGGCTTCTCATTTGAGATCTTCAGCAGAGGACAAAAAGGTCGGTGAGGAGAAGCCATCTTGGAGGGTAGGCAGAGGGGAAGTGGAACTGCTGGCTTCCAGTGGCCTTGTGGCCTTTCAGCATCCCCAGCCTTGTCAAGTTCTTCCAGGAAACCAGGGAATTCTCCTCACCTGAGAGCTTCCTGACATGCTGGAAGATCTTCCTACTGGAAAGAGAAGCTAGTCTGCTTCAAGTGGCTATGAATAAGACAGGCATGCCCTGTCCCTGCCCTCCAGCACCCCACAGCCCAGAGGCCAGAAACTTTAGCAAATAATGCAAAGTGTCACATTGAAGGCTAAGAGAGCTGGGAGAGGAGAGAAGAGGGAAGCAGGCTCTGGGGCTGGCAGGGAGGGCTTCTCTGTGGACTCAAGGTTGTGAACTGAAGGATGATCATTTGCGTACATGTCTTGGTTGGTGGAATAGTAGGGGGTAAGGGAGAGTGTGCCCAGGGACCTGGGACCACCTCCCTTACTAGTTGGGACTCTGCCCATAGAAGCTGCCACAACAGCTAGACTGGAGTGAAACACCCAAAGTCTCCCTGCAGAATAAGCACCAGGGGGAGGGCTCTTCTGCACAGAGACAAGATGTCCCCATGTTCACTAACAGCAGACACATCATGCCCAAGTGTGACATCAGCACCTTGGCATGTATTTCTCTTCATTTTGTTGGGTCCTCTCTGAGACCCTTCCTTTTAGGGGCAGCCTCTGCTGGTCTTCTTAAGAGCCAAAATGCCTGGGGGGGACAATTATTATTCCCTGGAGGATTCCTACATGGCTTTTAGGGAGGCATTGGAGCATCCTCAGAGACTCTTTCTGGGTGTGGCCAGCAGCTCCTAGGAGAGAGGAACTGCCTCTACCCATTGCCTTCTTGACCCAGAGTCAGCACTGCACATGTGTCACCTGTCCTAGCCAGAACACGGTTTGAAGGCAGATTCTCTCTCTGTTACTCGGTGCCTGGCGTGCTACTTTGCACAAATCTGGCACTCACAAATAGGTGATGAATGAAAGAAGAGATTCTGCAAATCCAAATGCCCTTGCAATACAGAGGCTTGATTTTAGGAATGTGAAATAAAACCAATGCCTGATTCATGTGTGTATTCATCCACCCACCCAAAGGCAGTTCTTCAGGACTTACTATTTAGCTGTGTAGCTGAAATGCCTGGAACATGGTAGTTCACAGCTGATTGTGGTTGTTATAGGGGAAGTGCAAAACTAGCTCTGGCTTCTTTTTTTAAGTATATTTTATTGATTATGCTATTATAGTCTTCCCAATTTTTCCCTTTATCCCCCCACTGCCCTGCACCTCCCAACTCTACAGCATTCCCCCCCTCAGTTCACGTTCATGGGTTGTACATATAGGTTATTCAACTTCTCTGTTTCCTGTACCATTCTTAACCTCACCCCATTTATTTTATGCCTACCAATTATGCTTCTTATTCCCTGTACCTTTTACTCCCATTCTTTCCCTCCCCTTCCTAGATAAACACCCACCATGTGATGTCCATTTCTTTGATTCTGTTCTTGTTCTAGTTGTTTGCTCAGTATTTATTTTCATTGTTTTTTTTAATGTTCAGTTGTTGATAGTTGTGAGTTTGTTGTCATTTTACTGTTCATAGTTTTTTTTTTTTTCTTAAGAGGTATGGTTTTTTAAAAGATTTTATTTATTTATCTTTAGAGGGGAAAGGAAGGAGAGAAGGAGAGAAATATCAATGTATGGTTACTTCTCATGAGTTCCCTGCTGGTAACTGGCCTGCAACCCAGGCATGTGCCCTGACTGGGAATTGAACTGTGATCGTGTGGTTCG